TTTAAAAAGTTTTCATTTCAGACCATCCTTTGTGGTTACTTTAGGTCTTTGAGTTTGCAAGGCCACCACACAGGCTTTCCCTGAGTTAGTCAGGTTATAGGGGTGGGCAAACTTTTTGACTCGAGGGCCACAATGGGTTCTTAAACTGGACCTGAGGGCCGGAACAAAAGCATGGATGGAGTGTTTGTGTGAACTAATATAAATTCAAAGTAAACATCATTACATAAAAGGGTACGGTCTTTTTTTTTTTAGTTTTATTCATTTCAAACGGGCCGGATCCGGCCCGTGGGCCGTAGTTTGCCCACGGCTGGTCTAGGGTGAGGTGCTGTGTTTCTAATAAGCTCCCCACTGTAGCTCATTTAATCTGCACCCCAATGCTGTCCAGTGAATACAATGGGCTCCCTTTCATGGGCAGAAAAGCTGATGTTTTGTGGGTTTTCTCAGCTTGCCTAAAAGTGTGCCATTAAAGAGAGTTGCACTATCCCTGCCCTCCACCCATGTTTGGGTAAAAAACACAGCCCCCAAATCATCACTCCCTCCAGCCCCCTCTTGGTCTGCCCCAGGAGGCTCGGGTCTTCTACGTCTGTGAATTCTAATCATTTTGTGGTCAACTAGCCTCCAGCCTGGAGCTTCTGAGCCTGCTTGCAACAGTATTTAAAGATAATCTACCTCACAGGAAACCAGACACTATTGGCTAACTTTGCAAATAAAGATGCCCTCAGAGGGAGGGAAAGGGAAATGCTCTCTGACAGAGTCTACGTGGAACAGGGTGGCTGATTGGCACGTTCAGAGGTTCCCTTTCCAAGCCCAGCCCAGGTAGGAGCAGAGGACTCGATCAGCACCTGTGGGCACGTGGGGCGGACACTGTGGTCAGAGGTCTAAGTGGGGAAATGATGCTGGTTTTCTTCACATGCCAACAAGGGAGACCATTAATTTGAGGATGTTCTAGCCTAAATGTGGGGAGCAGTGACTGACTAGATCCGTGGTCGGCAAACTGTGGCTCTCGAGCCACATGCGGCTCTTTGGCCCCTTGAGTGTGGCTCTTCCTACGCCTTAGGAGTACCCTAATTAAGTTAATAACAATGTACCTACCTATATAGTTTAAGTTTAAAAAATTTGGCTCTCAAAAGAAATTTCAATCGTTGTACTGTTGATATTTGGCTCTGTTGACTAATGAGTTTGCCGACCACTGGATTAGATCAATTATGATACACTCAACATGATAGAATATGATCAGAAGCATTAGTGAGGGCCTGGAGAAATGCTCCATGATTTGACATTAACTTTTTTTTTTAAAGAAAGCATCGTTTAAAAGTGCACCTGAATGATATTGTAGAATTATTGTTAACTTTTTAAGGTGAGAAATAGTATTAAAGGTGTTTTTTTTAAGGAGTCCTTATTCTTTTAGAGACTCACACTTAACTGTGTATGGGTGAAATGCTATGATGTCTGAATTTATTTTTAAACAATACAGCAGGGCATGAAGTGGGGAATAGATTACATATTGACCATAGGTGCTCATTGTTGAAGTTGGGTGATGAGTGCATGGGGTTCTCTCTGCTTTTATGTATGTTTGAAAATTTTATAATAAAAGTGGAATTTTATAATGAAAATAGCACCTACATTTTAACTATACTAGTAAATGTAAATATACTTAATATGAATATACAAATATAAAATATGCATAAAGATGGTATTTAAGAAGGTAAAAGCTAGTTGTGGTTGAATCTGGGAAGTTAAATTGTAGATAGTTTGTGGGTTTTTTTCCCTTTTATTTCCATGCTTTTTTGTGCAGCTACACTTTTATAAAGAGTACCTATTGCATTTATCATGAAGACAGTTTTAATTAATAAATTGCTGGCACAGTATTGCTATACACTGTTATAATCAGTGTGAGGACACTCAAGTTCACAAGGTTTGTGTCGTTGAAAAACGCTGTCTTCAGAAAGAAATTGTGAGTGGACACAGCTGGATTTCTCCTCGCTCTCAGGCTGACCTGGCTCTTCCTCATGCCCTTGGGAAGGGAGCACCTACTGTGTGTCAGTCACATGCTAGCCATACTCCCCATCCCACCCTACCCTGTCACTCTCCCCATGTCACAGATGGATGTGTGTGTGTGTGTGTTGGCGGGGGGTAAGACAGCTTGGCTTTGGGATGAAGCCCTGGCTCTGTACTTGACCTTGCTAAGCCTCAAGTCCTGCTTTTAAAATAGAGATGGACTGTGAGTTGATAATCAGTCGTGAGTTTATAATTATTGAAGCCGGGTTATGGGTCCATGTTGAGTATCTGTGAGGATTAAGGTATAGTATATAAAGTTCTGACCCCACTTCCTGGCCCATATTTGGTGCTCAAGAAACAATATATGTTGTCATTATGGGAAAATGAGGCTAAGAAAGTTTGTGTACTTCAAGATCACTGGCTACTTTCAGATGAGGTTGTGAGGGACAGGAAAGGAAGGGACAAGCCAGAGCTGACCCAGTACAGGACTACCTTCCTTTCCCTTCCTCATTCCCACACTAAATTCCCCCCGCCCCCCTGAGCTCCCCATTCTACCCTGGCTGGGCTTTGGGAGGAAGGGACAAGCCAGAGCTGACCCAGTACAGGACCACCTTCCTTTCCCTTCCTCATTCCCACACTAAATCCCCCCCCTACCCCCTGAGCTCCCCATTCTACCCTGGCTGGGCTTTGGAAGGGCGGCAGTGTTAGAGGCCCTGGTCTCAAAGAACAGACTTCCTGAGACATTCGGCTGTCCCCTCTCCAGCCCAGCCTCAGACCTGGAATGGAGTCTTCAGCTGCCTGTTTCCATCAGGTTCAAGCTTTGTCCCCCCCTTGATGTTCAGAACCAGCATCTGCAGTGGCTGAGCTGGACAGAGAGGGGAATGTCTGCTGTCCCATAGCGGGTCACAGCTATGAGCCAGGTGGCACAGGCCAGGTCTTCACTGACTTTTCCAAGGACTTGCTCTGATTCCCAGCAGCACAATTCAGGGATCCTGAGTCTGCCCAGGAGCGCCAAGAGAAGCCTGAGGCTTCCAGCCCGATCCTGATCCCGCCTGCCCACCTTGGGGGCTCAGAATGTGCTGGCCACCAAAGGCCTGGAGTCCTCGTGGCTCTCTGGACACAGTGGGTGCTTCAACCACCTCATTGTTGGGTCTGGCCAAAGTGCAGCTATTTTTTCTCTTGAGTCTCAGAAGGGAGAAAACCCATAGCACATCTCTTTAAATATCTTCCCAGACCCTTTTTGGCCTTTTCCTTAAACCTATGTTTATTACGAAACATACACTCAAAGAACAGTGTGCACATTAAAAAATTATTACAAATTGATCTCCAGGCAGTGGGAAGAACTGGGCCAGCTGCCCAGCAGCCTCCCTCTGTCTCTTCCTGAGCACCTTGCCCACCGTCCCAGAAGTCACTGTCATCCTGCCTTTTATGGTCTTTATTTCCTTGCTTGTTCTCATACTTTTATCACTCAGATGTGCCTCCCTAAACAATATGGATTATCACTGGGATCTGGGACTTTTGGCTGCCTCCTCCCCTTTATGTATGTGGATTCATGCAGTAGTCTGCCTTTTGGTCTGTATTTTAAAAATGTACCTATGTTGAAGGAGATGTAGGTGCATATAGAAAAATGTTGATGGCAGCATTGTTCACGTGGTCTCAGACTGAGAGCCCCCTACCCCCAGAGTGCTCTGACAGTAGCATGATGACAAGCATGGAGCACTCACACAGTGGCATCCTGCACAGCAATGAGGACAGATCACAGTCTCAGCAGTAGCATGAATGAAACACTTCCAGAAATGCTGAGATGAATTTACAGATAAACGCAAAACCGATCCTTATCTGCAAGGCAGTATCGCCTGCAACTCACTGACACAATTTCTATTTCCATGAGCAAGAATCATGGCATTGCTCTCAGCTGGTTACAACTTAGTAGTAAATTAAATCAACCAATGAAAGGTGGAAGTGGCTCTGGAGGGGGTACTAGGTAGGACACCAGCAATTTTTTTTTGGTGTCGGGGGGCCTATTTCAAAGTCTCTTATAATTTGTCCTTATAGTTCCTTAGCATGGAATTTGAGACTCTTCTGCCTACTTGGTCTTGACTCTCTCTGCATCCTTGTTGGAGCCTATACTCAAACTAAACCAATCTTCCCTGAATGCTCTGAGGATAAGCCAGCCTCGTCTAACCCTACACACACACACCTCTTAGAATGTAGGGAGAGCTAAGGCTGAGAAGGTAGAAGAGGGGCAGATGGAGGGGCCTTGAATTCAACACATTTTACCCCTTGGACCCCAACCCCTGTGCAAGAAGATGAGTGGATCTCTACTGTGCAGTGAGGTGACTTCAGCCCACTTTTATATGGGGCCAAACACAGAGCCCAAGGCAAAACCAGCAACAGGAGGAAACAGTGCCTGAGGTGAGGGCCCTGTGCTGGGTGAGCCACCCCTTGTAGAACCTGCCTTGTTCTAGGTTTGACATGCCTTCCCTCTCTTTTCTTCTTCAAAGTACCTTAAGGTATTTATCTCCCTCTGCCAAAGCAAACTAAAATGTTGAAAATAAATGCTTCATGAATTTAGAAAATAGTTGAGGAAGAGGTGGAATTATTTATTAATTATTAATTAAGTCAATGTCTATTAAGTATCTTTACCATATGATAGTGTGAGCACAAGTAACAATGAAAAATATGACACTTCTCCCTGTTGATGGGGAGCTGGGTGCAAAAGGTGAATTTTAAAGGGATTAAGAAGTACAAATTGGCAGTTACAAAACAATCCCGGGGATGTAAAGTACAGCATAGTGAATACAATCAATTATATTTTATTAAGACCGCTTTACTCTAAAAAAATTTCACTATACTTTAATTAATATTCTCTGGACCTTAATTTAAAATTTTGTTTCTGTTTTTTCAATTACAGTTGGTCCTCATGTCCTTCTGTTTCTAGTATATCCCCTCGCACGCTCTCTGCCTAGCCTTGGACCCAGGAAAGCTCCACAGGCTCAGATCCTCAGTACCTTTGGCTCCAAATCACCTCGCCCCGCTCATTTCCATCTTTATCCTTGTCTACCTGGAAGACCCTCCCAGCCATTAAGACTGAACTTACATGGGCCAATTCTTGGGCTTCCCATAACTTTTTAAATATTCTGTCATGAAAAAATTAAACCTCACAATAGTTTTTTTTAACATTAGACTGCAACTCAAACCCGGTCTTCACTCAAGGGCCTAGGAAGCCATAAACAGAGACCAAGGAGGTTAAAAAACAAACAAAAGAAGATGCACTGGAGCTAGCAAACAATGAGCAAGACTTGAAACCAAAGGAAAGAGGGGATGAAGCTTCTTTTTGTTTACAACCTGAAAGGGACATTGGATAGAAGAAGAAAATAGATTTGGGCATTAATAAGGGAGGAAGTGCAGGAAAGGGAAGCTGATTGGAAACGGTGGGTAATGATTAAAAAGAAAAAAAAAAGTTAAAAAAAAATAGTGGGCTTGAGAAAAGGAAGTGGACCAGAGGAAGTAGAACAAGCTGGGTGGGGAGTAAGCGGGTGATTTTTTTTCAAAGCAGGCCCTTCAAAATTCATTTCTACAGGCGTCTGAAATCCACATGCATTCAAAACTCAGCTTCTAGGTTCAGCTCAAACTCTCCCAGCTCAACATCTTATAGTCAAACCTTGACATAATGGAAGAGAAGGTAAGGACCCTTGAGAAGAGCCTAGACTAGTATTATTGTTGCTGGCTTCTGCCCTAGGCTGTGCAGTGCAGCCTTGGTTGACAATGTCTGCATGAACTTCACCTTGGTGTGCACCTTTCCGCTTGCAGCGCTATCTGTATAAACCTAGCTGAGTGAACACTGCAAAGGCTTACTTACCTCATTGGATATTCGAGTCCTCAGGGGCCAGGAAACCCAGTGTTCAGCCTAAGTAGAAGCTAATTAGGCTCCTGATAGCCCCTTGACCTCCCCTGAAGACCACCCCCAAGGACTGATCCTACTCCCATTTGCTGCCAGGAGGCCCTATCTTCAGTCTCATTTCCCAATCCTGGACCCAGAAAGAAAAGGTCCACCCAGCTTGGGCCCACCCTTCCTAAAAAGGTCCCTTGATTAAGCTGTTAACTTCAATGGAATAATTCAGTGATGGAGAAGCCATACCTGCCGCCAGATTTCTGATGTAAATGGTGCCCCCACATGATCCGGGGCTGTTGTCTAACAAGACTGGGTTTGAACCCTTCCTAAAAAGGTCCCTTGATTAAGCTATTAACTTCAATGGAATAATTCAGTGATGGAGAAGCCCTACCTGCCGCCAGATTTCTGAGTCAGATTTCTGATGTAAATGGTGTCCCCACGTGATCCGGGGCTGTTGTCTAACAAGACTGGGTTTGAACTGGCTCGAGTGCTAAGACAGACTTCAAATCCCCTTCCCAACCAAGTAAAACCCTGGACCACCCCGGAATCACACAGTTGAGGCAGCAGCTGAGCCTTGACATTTGCACAGAAGAAAGAACTGGAATTGCTCCTTCTGGTGTCTATCCCATGATCAGACATGTTCAATAGCCATGAATTAAATATGTTGAGATAAGACCATATTTTCTAAGTTTTCTGGAGATCTGGTGGGCCTGTGCTTTTCTACTGGGGCTCTGCCTTGGAAGGCTGATGTGTCTCTTCTTTCACTTCTCTAGGCCTTTTATTCATTCACATATTCACTCATTCACTCATTTATTCACCCATTCATTCATTTATTCACCCATTCGTTCATTCAGCACACTACAGGCCACTAAGCTCCTAGAGTTCAAGGGCCCCTGGCCCATGATCAGAAAGGACACTTGTGTACACTGTGAGCACCTCTGGGAAAAAGGCAGTTAAAGGCCTGCTGTCGCCATTATTCACAAGGAATGATGGAATGAAGGTCTAGGATACAATATTAATCTTCTATAAATATTCCTGTACATTTGCTCTGTGCTAGAGCTCTTCCTGTTGAACAGTGGTCAACAGAGCTGAAGAGAACACCCACTGTTCTTCTCTTAGGAACACCTAGTTTTGGGTTGGGGAAAGGGCTGTATGCAAAGTTGGAAAAAACACTGAGACTGGCCACATCTGGGCCCAAACTGCAGCCCTGCCACATGCCAGCTGTGTGGCCTCAAATAAGTCGCTCACCTCTCTGAGTGCATCTACGTGCCCATAAAGTAGAGATAATTCTTTATGGTACCATTAATTGAGCATGTACAACATGCTACTATTATTATATTAGGCTATGAGGAGTTCATTGAAAGCTTTGTTTCTCTGTTCCTTTCTCTGTATCATGATGCACAACTGCTCATAGCAGGGGACTCCAACATGCTGAGTGAGCACCTACTATGTGCATAGCACTGTGCAAGTGCTGAGGCAGAGTAGTGGGAGACTGGGACAATTCAGTGGGAGACTGGGACAATTCTGGGGTCTTTGCTGGTAGTGCTGAGCCACCAGGGAGCTGAACCCTCTCACCTGGATGGACTCTCTGGACAGCAGGTAGTGGTCCCAAGCTAGAATGATGCCCCCTAATCAGCCATTTTACTTGCAATAGGCAATGAGGCCAACAGTCAGGCAAAATCATCCCTCCCAGAGCATATCTGAAATTGTGTTCCATCTTGAGGATAAATTGCCACCCAATTGCATTCTGTTTTTATCAAAGTCTTTGTCCTCATGACCTCTTTGCTGTTGAGATGACAAGCCCCTTCAGGGCTGAAACTGTGCCTGGCTGATCTCTCCATGTGTCCCCTGCCATGCAGAGCTCAATGCCTGTAGGACTTCATATGTATTTGTAGAATGGATGTTGAACTTCTACAGCCAGGACCATCCTGGTGTATTTGGCATCTCAATGCCAATTAGAAAAAATATCCCTGTGTGTGACAGCCCTGAACCGGGGCACCCAGCAAGGTGAGGGGCTGGATTTGAACCTCCTTGTCACTCAGCCTGGAAGTCAGTTGTTTATTTCTAACCACCTCTACCATCTCGACACTCTTCTCCCTTCCTTTCATCAGGAATATGCCTGGAGCCATTCAGCAGGGCAATGAATTAAACGCAGGACTTTCCCTTCAGAATTGCAGAGAGGACTAAGTAGATAATGATGTGGAGTATTCAGAAATGAGCCTGCAAGCTTAGTAAAAGCTCAGTAAAGCTTGGCTTCCTCCCTCTTCTCTCCTCTATCCCCCCCCACACACACAAAAAATCTGAAAAGGAAACATATTTTATTTTAGGGGGAAAACAATAAACCTTTACAGACCAAATTTTCATAATGCCTAGGATGGGAGTGAAATATGAGAGTCCACAGACAGCCTGGGTGACTCCAAAGGTTGTCCAAAGTGCTTCTGCTTCCTCACACATTTATTAAGTGCCTGCTGTATGCTACACACTGTGCCAGGTGCTCGCTTCAAAACAGCGCTGTGGGCAGGCATGAGAATGTACCCCAATCTTGCAGGTGAGGAATGTGAGGCCCAGAGGTTCCACGTTCACCCAAGGTCACTGGGCCAGAGAGGGGAGGCATGGGATGCAATCTTGTGACATTTGTGTGGTTCTAAAATGGTTGCATATCAGCCATTTTATATGGTTCAATTTAAATATTATTAAGGGCACAGCCAGAGGTTCCTTTCTGAGAAAAGGGCACTGCAGCCTAAAGCAAAGAAAGTGTAGGCTTTTTCTAGGTTTGAGAACTCCATCCCAGCCTGAGACAGCCCGGGCCAGAGCCTTGGCCTACTTAGTTCTGGCAGAGTCTGGGTCAGATGCAGAGATGGGCCTAGACATAAGGCAGAGGCTGGGAGGGAGCAGCAAAGCCCTGGCTGGGTGGGTCCTCACCCTGGCAGAAGCACCATCTTAGTGAAACCAGCATGAAAAGGAAGCAGTGGGGGTGTGGAAACTCCCTTGGTTAAAGAAGTGTAAGCTTTGCTTTTAGTTGTGGTGGGGAGGGAGGCAATGACAACCAGGAGGTGTGCCTGGTTGCCACAAAATACTTTGTGATATCACAGATAGGTTTCTGAGGTACCTATCTGTGATATCACAAAGAAAAGCAGGAGACCTCAGGGACCAGGGCACAAGGGCTCCTCTTGTGGCCTCTGGAGAGTGAGGAGTGAGTCCTGGCTGAGAGGGGGGAGGAGAGGGACAATAAGGGAGAAGTGTGACTTCCCAACCTGCTCAGAAGGGTCTTCTCTTTCCACTTTTGTTCAGGAGGAAACAGGAAGTAAGAAGAGTGGGGAAAGCTAGGCCAAAGTGTGGGGCTGGTAATTATCAAGTTAATTAGCCACTCAGGCCCAGTGCAGCATGCTAATAAGCAGTCCTCCATAGTGGATCAAGCAGCACTTTTATGGTGACACCTCCTCTTCTCTAGGAGCAGTTGGATGACCTACCATGTGGGTTTGCTCAGAAGTGAGGGATTTCTGATACAGGAGGCTTTCAGGGCTAAAACTGGAAAAATCCTGGGCAAACCAAGACAAGGTAGTCACCATAGAGCATGTGAATCTATGTCTTATCTCTTAAGGGAAGGAAGGACTTGTTGGTTCTGAGAGGAAAAGGAAAAACCTGGCTCCCAAAAACAAAAGTGAGGGCTGTTGGGTATGGGTCTGCTCAGGGCTCTGGAGGGTGTCTGAGACCTCTTTCTTCAGGCTCAGCTTCCTGCAAGAGACATTAGGGTCCAGAGGGTAGAGGAGGAGGGAATAAGTGAAGGGAGCAGAGAATTGCTTTAGGAAGTTGGGACAGAAGTGTGAATTACGACTGCACCCCTGCACCATCCCACCCCCTCATTTCCCTGCCAATGGCCCCCTCTCCCCCATCCACACAATGATAAAGCTAGCTACTTTTGGAGAAACTTTTAAAAGTATTTTTTTTTAAAGGTTTGGCCTGGCTGGTGTTGCTCAGTGGTTGAGCATCAACCCATGAACCAAGTCATTGGTTCGATTCCCAGTCAGGGCACATGACTGGTTTCACACTCCATCTCCAGCAAGGGGCATGCAGGAGGTAGCCAGCCAATTGATGATGCTTCTCTCTCATCGATGTTTCTATTTCTCTATCCTCCCCTCCTCTCTCTCTAAAAATAATAAAAAAACATATTTTTAAAAAGAAAAAGTAAAAAAGGTTTGTCTTGTGCTTCAAAAAACTTAGATTCAAATGCTAGCTGACTCACTGACTGGGTAGCCTTGGGCCAGTCACTGTTAGAGACCTGACTTCCTCTAACGTGAAAGGAATCAGTTACAGCCTCAACAGAGACAGCCTTGGGGACAATGAGACGACATGTCTGACATTGAAAAATGTATTGCTTAGGCACCAACCAATATTTGTTGCTTCCCGTCAGCCTATGTATGGGGACAGACAGAATTCTGACTTTGTCACTCTGAGAACTCATGCTGTTCCTTGTTTTCCTTTCTGATCCAGACCCTCACCATGCCTACCTCCTTCCCTGAATCAATTTCAGAAGACTTTCAGTATGATGAGAGTGCAGAAGCCTGTCATATAGGAGATATCGTGGCCTTTGGAACTACCTTCCTGCCCATAGCATACTCCCTTGTCTTTGCCTTTGGCCTGGTGGGAAATTTGCTGGTGGTGTTTTCCCTCATCCATAGTCAGAAGTCCAAGAGTATCACCGACATCTATCTCCTGAACCTGGCCTTGTCCGATCTGCTTTTTGTAGCCACCTTGCCTTTCTGGATTCACTATCAGGTAAGGGAACAAGGCTTTCACAATGCCACATGCAAACTCACTACTGCCTTCTTCTTCATTGGCTTTTTTGGAGGCATATTCTTTATCACCATCATCAGCATCGATAGGTACCTGGCCATTGTCCTGGCTGCCAACTCCATGAACAACCGGACAGTGCAGCATGGTGTCACCATCAGTCTCGGCGTCTGGGCAGCAGCCATCTTGGTAGCAGCACCCCAGTTCATGTTCACAAAACTTACGGAAAACCAGTGCTTCGGGGACTACCCTGAGGTCCTGCGGGACATCTGGCCTGTGCTCCGCAACATGGAAGCAAACATTCTTGGCTTCCTGCTCCCTTTGCTCATTATGAGTTACTGTTACTTCAGAATCATGCAGACACTGCTTTCCTGCAAGAACAACAAGAAAGCTAAAGCCATTAAACTGATATTTCTGGTAGTCATCATGTTTTTCCTCTTCTGGACACCCTACCACGTTATGATTTTCTTAGAGACACTCAGTCTCTACAACTTCTTTCCCAAATGTGACACGAAGCGGGATCTGAAATTGGCGCTCAATTTGACTGAGACAATTGCATTTATCCACTGTTGTCTCAATCCCCTTATCTATGCATTCGCTGGAGAGAAATTCAGAAGATACCTTTACCACCTGTATAGGAAATGCCTGGCTGTCCTATGTGGCAGATCCGCCCATGTAGGTTTCTCCTCTTCTGAATCACAAAGGAGCAGGAGGGAAAGTGTTCTGAGCAGCAACTTGACTCACTACACCAGCGATGGAGATGCGTCCATGAATCTCTGAAGAGATCTCCAAAGCCTTGTCCCTCCAGAGAGCCTGGAGCTCTGATTCTGACACTGAAAAATGAGGACAAAATTTTTTGTTGTTTCTTACGTGCAAGAAATGATGGCCCCAGTGCCCCCCCTCCCCAAACCCCTAAGGTGTTTTTGAGAATTGTGCTTAAAACTTAAATGATTGAGGATAGACATGTCTCCTACTGCAAACGTCAGAACTTTTTTGTTTACAAATGACAAAAATTTGACTCAAACTAGCTTAGGTAAAAAGGAGGTGGTAAGTATTGTTCACACTGTGGCACTGACAAGGGGGTGACTGAGCCCTCAGAGTGCACGGGACCGGGGTTTGAATCAAGCCAGAATTTCCTCTCTCTGATTCTCAAATCTTTGAGTGGTAACTGAGCTCCTAGACTCACATAGCACAGCTTTGTCATCAGAAAGGGACTGAGACCCATTCCTCCTTTTCTGGTCTCAAGGTCAAAATTCCTAGGGAAGGGCTCTGATTGGCCAAGTTTGTATCAGATGCCTATCCTTACATCAGTTGCTGGTATTCATGGAGTAGATAATATAGCAGTTTCCCATCCAATTTTATGGCTAGCGATTCATGGAGATGTATTTCCAAGAAGCTGGAGAGGTAGGTGCTGTTTTGATCAGACAGAACAAGAGCTGCCCACCAACTTTACCATGTGTTTGGCTAGCCTAGCCTCTCCTCTAATCACACCAACCAGTACACATTACTAGCCGCCTCTTCAATAAAACCCTTCTCTCATGTCCCCAAACCTACAAAGGTTCCCCATTGCCAACTGCTTCAAGTCCAAACTCAAATACTTGGCCTCTGAAACCCTCCTAGAGATTCCTTATTGCCTCCCCTTTTCAAAGGACTCCACCCACCCTGTCATGTAGATTTCTTCTATCTGGCTTCATGTATCTCCACCTGCTTCTGGGCCCAAGGGGAATAGAAAGAACCCTGGCCCAAAATGAAAAGGGTTTTCAATCCCAACTCTCTATCACTTGCCCATTGGGTGGCCTAGGACAACTGAGCTTCAGTTTCCTCATCTGTACAATGGAGATAATGGCACTTTTCACATTGGTAGCATTGTTTCCGGTATGAAGAACCAGCCACCAACTGTTGCAGGTCCCAACACTCGTCTGGTTCCCAGACTACAACTTGCTCCCCACCTGGCACCGTGTGTAAGTGATGGTGTTGGCAGAGCCTGGAGGAGCCTGCAGGTCCGATGCATGCTCTAGCCCAGACACAGAGAAGGCTGGTTCCTAGAGTGACATTCTGTGGATGCTCTTGGATGTACGGATCAATAACCTGCCCTGACCCAGCCCTCCAGACTGCCTTGAAGATTCCCTCCCAATCATCTTGTGGCAAACTCCTGCCCACCTGGAGATAACCCCATTATTCATGCCACTGCCAACCTGGAGAGCCAGGGTCACAGGAGTGGCTTTCTTTATCAGTTAACATTTGGGATGATCTAAAACTTTAAAGCTTGAAAAATAGCTATAATGATGCTAAAGAAAATGTCATCTGTAATCTGACCATGCAGTATTGTCATTTGCCCGTCCAGATCTTGTTCATATCCTCGTCGCAATCACAATGTACAGACAGTTTTGTAATCTGCGTTTCTTCTCTTAACAGGAGGTCACATATTGCTCTCTGTTCCTCCATAGTTTTGTGATGATCATTTTAGAAGACTGCCAGGATGTGCCCTCATTAAAGGCATCTGACTCGTTGCTGTATTTCTGGTACCTCCTTGGCAGTCATTATGTTTGTTTAACCAATGAGAGGATGAATCATGTCCCGTCAAGATCCTGTACCATAATTTACTCCCCATTGCTTTGTTGATAAACATTTCACTTATTTCCAATATTTACCAAATATAAACATGTATAATTTCCTTTCTCCTCTTCAATTATTTCCTTTGGATAAATCCACACCATGGGGGATAACTGGGTCAAAGGGCATGGGAATTTTTTAGCTACTGACACATAACATATGAAAGAACATCACAAAACCTTTATTAAGCATATTTTCTATGCAATATGTGAGCTCAGATCCAGAGTTGTTCCAAAGATGCATGAGGCCCAGCTTCTGTCCTCAATGCTTAAGCAGTGCTTAACATTGAAGTGCAGAACAGAGAACTGAACAAATTATAATTTGCATTAATTGGTAACACAAGGGCAGGGACTTGTGACTGACTGTGTAAGGGTAAGGGGTGCTCCAAGCAAAAAGGAAGGGATGGCATTCTAAGGCAAGTGAGTGGCATATGTAAAGGACATGAGTGAGAGCATGGGGCCCTTAAGAGAAAAGGCATGGGAGCAGAGTGGGTGGTGGGAAACTTCTGGAAAGTTGGCTCAAACAACCAGTGGAGGGGACTGTTCTTAGGTGTTCAAAGTTGTTCCATTATTACATGATCCTCATTCCAGCTATTGAATCATGAAACTTTTCATTAAATTTTAACTTATATTATGTATTTGAAAGTTGCTAAGAGAATAGATTTTAAGTTATCACCCCCCCCCAAAAAAAGTTATAACTATGTGAAGTGATGGATGTGTTAACTAACCTTACTGTGGTGATCATTTTGTAATACATACATATATAAGATCACTACATTGTACTTAAACTTATACGTTGTCGTGTGTCAATTATGTCTCTGGGGAAAAAAAAGCAGAGATCATAGGTAGGCAATGAAAATTCCCCAGAAAGGAGGTCTGCAGGTAAATGATGTTGGCAGGAAGCAGATATCTGTCCTCCAGAATTCAGTTTATCAGAATCAGTCTACCCAATGATGGCAGGTGCAGCCTGGGTGGTGCAGCCTCTGGCGATAGCTGTTCTGTGACATCAGTAATATCTCTAATGAAAGATGGTCAACCGACTCAGAAGCAAAGGATACCAGAGGCTTAGAGGCAAGTTCTATTGGTGGCCTGCAGCAGGATCTGGGTGATGGACGGAGCCTTAGGCCAGAGTGAGTGCTGTGGGAGGATGACCACATCCTAGGGCTGCCCCAGCACTTGGGGGAAATGCCAAGTCTTTCCAAAATCCTACTCACTTTAGGCTTATTCTATGCTCATTAAGTGACCATCTAAGGGAGAAGTCAGCTTCCCAGGGACCTTACCACCAATAAACATCGAGATATGCATGCTTTGGGTTAGGGGAAGAGCCCATTGCCGCTTAGGATCCACTGCATCTGGAGTGTGTATAGGATCCAGTGGGCTATCCATCCATCTCCCTGAGCACCCAGGGAGAGAATTCACAGATGGTATCCCTTTAGGCCCTCAAATTGAGGCAGTCTGTTCCAGCTCACAAGCTAATTTTCTTCTCTGTCTGTATCCCACTCTTCTGGCCTATGGGGACCACTTCAGTTTCAACATGACTTGTAATACTGTTGGCTTAACTGCTGAGCTAGCAACCACATTTTGGGCTACCCAAAAGTAATATTACCTGAGAGCAAGTGAGAGAAGTAGGTCTTAGCAAATTTAGAAATACCTGGTTTCTTTTCAAGACTCCCTCCATCCATAGAAGGGCAGAACTGTTTTCTCAAAGATACGTGGAGCTATGTTTCCATTTCTGTTGTTTGAGGCACGTTGTTAGGCAACAGCCAGAGTTCCTCCACAAATGCCCTAGACAGCTCTAGAAACCACAAAACAGGCTTGGCAGGAAAATCACTCTTACACCATAGTTCCTCATTTATTTAGGTAGAAACAAAAATAAATTTTCACTTGCATTTAGTTGAATACTAGGTAAGATTGTTCTGTTTTCATTGTGTTTATTTTATATTCTTTATATCTTTCTTTGGATTATAAAAGAGATGCACAGTCATAGAAAATACCAAAAAAAAAGGAAAGAAATTAATACAAATTTTAGATTATATAATACTAGAGGCCCGATGCATGAAATTTGTGCAAGAGTAGGCCTTTCTTACCCCAGCTGCCAGTACTGGCTTCCCTCTGGCACTCAGGACTCGGGCTTCCCTCCCAGAGGGAGGCCCCGCCCACCCGCCGCAGCCCGCCAGTTGGTGGTCTGGGCCCCCCTCTTTGGGGCAATCGTGGAGCCCCCAATTGATCGCCTCGCTGGCTGGTGGCTTGGGCCTCCCTCTGCGGGGCGATCATGGGGCGACGATGGCTGGGCCCCTGACCAATCACATGGCACCCGCCTTGGCTGGCCTGGCGCCAGTGGGTGTCATAGTGTGGTCCTGGATGATGGTCTGATGACCTTTCCGCTCTTCAGCCGTTTGGTCGTTTGGTCAATTTGCATATTATGCATTTATTATATAGAATTCCACCTCTCAGAGATAACTGTTGTTGAATATTGAGTTTTTCTACCAGGTCTTTCTCTGCTGATTGAATTGTTTATTAAAAAAATTGAGTCCCTCTGCGGGGTGATCATGGGGCGACGATGGCTGGGCCCCTGACCAATCACATGGCACCCGCCTTGGCTGGCCTGGCGCCAGTGGGTGTCATAGTGTGGTCCTGGATGATGGTCTGATGACCTTTCCACTCTTCAGCCATTTGGTCGTTTGGTCAATTTGCATATTATGCATTTATTATATAGAATTCCACCTCTCAGAGATAACTGTTGTTGAATATTGAGTTTTTCTACCAGGTCTTTCTCTGCTGATTGAATTGTTTATTAAAAAATTGAGATCCAGCCCTAACAGGTTTGGCTCAGTGGATAGAGCGTCGGCCTGCGGACTCAAGG